CGCACGACCACGACGCGCCACCCACACGACGACCACGCTACGACGACGCTACGACTCGCCGCATACGACTACACGACGACGCACGCTACACGACGCCACTCTACACGACGCCACTCACACGACGGCACGCCACGACATCACTTACGACGCCCTTACGACACCACTGACGACGCCACGCTACGCCACGCCACTCTACGACACCACGGCGCTTCCACGACGACGGCCGCTACACGACGCCACTCTACACGACGGCACGCTACAAGACGCCACTCTACACGACGCCACTCTACACAACGCCACTCTATACGACGCCACTACACGATGCCACTGTACACGACGCCATGCTGCACGACGCCACTCTACACGACGCCACTACACGATGCCACTTTATACGATGCTAACCTAACCTAACCTAACCTAACAATTGAGAAGGCCTTCACCCGGTTCATGGTCATCTGGGACGCTGATCCAGGTTGAGTTAATCTTCACAAAGGTTTGATAGAGTCTGTATCGACGGGAGACTCGTCTAAATGTTGTTGTCAGTAATTATCAATGTCAGTAATTATCAATGTCAGTAATTATCAAAATGTCAGTAATTATCAGTGTCAGTAATTATCAAAATGTCAGTAATTATCAATGTCAGTAATTATCAATGTCAGTAATTATCAGTGTCAGTAATTATCAATGTCAGTAATTATCAATGTCAGTAATTATCAAAATGTCAGTAATTATCAAAATGTCAGTAATTATCAGTGTCAGTAATTATTAAAATGTCAGCAGAGTAAGTGTTAAGGGGGGGTAAGAGGAGGAATGAATCAGTGCTGTTGCTTGAGAAGGGGGAGGAGGAGAGGACCTCCGTCTTCAGGTAAACTGTCGTGTAATTAAAGAAGGAAAGTTGCAATCAGTTCTCATAACCTGAGGATCATACGAGGCAGGTTATTCCCTCGAATATTTGGCCACGTTTAATGAGTTTCATGGGACGTCGTCAGAGAGTAATTGACAAGACTGGTTGTTTGCCGTTTAGGTTTTTTTTTTCCATTTCTTTTCTCATTGTTTGCGAGAATTTTGGACGACAGACCGAGGGTAATTATACACCTTCAGGAAATTAATAATTCAGGAATAATAATAAAAATATTTCCCCTGGGATGGTTTCTCTCGGGTACGACTCTTGTCTGGCCTGCGCGTGGTCGTCACAGGAAGAGACATGGAATAAACTCTTCTCCTCCATACATCTAGAGTAGTTACTATAGGGAGAGAGAACCTTGGAGAATTAGTGGTGTGATTATGGCTCCAGCGTCAAAGAGCTTCCTAATTCTGTTAATATGCAAGTCAATGTCTCCCTGGGGTCTGGGGCTGTTCAGGGTCTTCTCGTTATGTCTTCAATAAGGTCTAATCATATAACGGGTCTTGTGATGAGCTTCTTTGGTGTCTTGAGTCTTTAAGGTCAGAAGTCACTACTCATCACTATACATCACACACACACACACACACACACACACACACACACACACACACACACACACACACACACACACACACAAGTGCTGAAATCCCTTGTTAAATGGCCCTCTGCCCCTTGTCATTATATATTATTTTATATTTGCATCACTTATGTTACTTGTATATTATTTGTCAACCAAGTGACCCAATTAAGTAATTTCTATCATCTTTGTTTGTTGTTTATTTCAACCTTTTGGCCGCCATGTTCCGTCAGTAAACTGTGTGTGTGTGTGTGTGTGTGTGTGTGTGTGTGTGTGTGTGTGTGTGTGTAGCCAAACCTAATCTAGAATAAATGAGCTTTTTTTTTTTAATAAATAGAAAGTAGAGAGAGAGATCAACAAGTGTCATCACCCTGGAGGCGTCACCTGACCAAACGCTGATGATGATGGAAACTGATGAAGGTTATATGAGAGGTAAACCATGTGTGGCGGTCTGAGATATATAATGAGCCTAATTACCCCAACCTAACCTGCCCTAACCTGCCCTAACCTAACCTAACCTGACCTAACCTGACCTAACATAACTGAACGACTTTACAGTAGGCAAGTTGTACGACATCTTATGCTCGTCTTTTCTATATAATGTTATTGTTGTCTTAGCAGTGATATTGTTTTACGTTGAAGGTAAACACACATTCTTCATGGCTGGACGTACACTCTTCACCGGCATTGTATCACTTTATATTGATCTCAGTGGATTAAACTGGGCGTTGTCGTTCAAAACAGACGGCGACGGGTCCCAGGGTCGACCTCTGACGTCTCCTGCCACGACACTCCATTGTGGACGGGAACCTAAGGGAGGCGGGGATTACGGTCCTGATGAGGCTGCCTGATGAGTGATTAGACGATAATAATTAGCTGATTATAATGAGATAATGCGAGGGAGGGAGGGGAGGAGTGAGCGAAGCCTTTACCCGTCCCTCCCTCTCCCTGGGCCTCATCCTGGAAGGGGGAATTCACAGCGCTCGATCAGTTTTCTGCCAGACAGTTTTAGGTTGTTAGTGGACAGCTTTAGGTTAGGTTAGGTTGGGTTAGGTTAGGATACATACATGCTGCAGGTATTATGTTCTAGTCTACAGGTATAGACGCATGTTGCTATTGTCAAACGCTTTCATGTTACAAGGACACAGTTTTAGTTGGACGTGGTGATAACTTTTACTCGCGGGAGTCTCATAACACAGGCGAGGGGAGGTTAGTATGTAGCGTACACACACAGTAAGTGGCTGGAGGCAATTGATATAGCTGTCTTTTATAGCTGTAGGATTTGAGTGCCCTGAGGTCACCTGGCGAAGGTTACCGGGAGACCTACTACCTGAAGGAGGGTGATAGTAAGGGGGAGGGGGGACTGGAAAGCTCAGATGTCCGTCATGGGCCTTAAGTGTGGAATAGGATATGTGTAGCTAAAAGGGACGGAGGAAGATGAAGTGCATTTGAGATATCTCTCTCTCTCTCCTAAATATCCATGTACAGACAGTGATCATTCCCGGGGTCTCAACACACAGACAACACCACAAATAAGGTTCACTTTCCTTCCTCTTACCTCATCAGAAATGTCTACATTTACATGGAGACGCGGTGGAGGTTCTCCCAAGCCACTATCACCCCACCACTCACACTGCAGAGCTGCCCTGTCAGGTGGGGACAAATTGACACTGTAAAATATGTCTCTGTGTTAGCGTTCCTACTTGACAATTTGTCTCGTCAGCTGAGAGTTAGGAAAATAATGGTGATGGAATTGCCTGTGATTCGGAGTGTCAGGTTGTTCGAGCCAGAAATAATTATACCATTACAGGGCGCTGTAGTGTCAATATTTCAGGCCGGGAGACGGATTTGACCTTGTTTGGTCATGTTGTGGTTTGGCGGGGAATGTGTTTAGGCGAGTTTGTGTGGTGCCATTGTGAGGATGGTGGCGCCCGGGTCTTTATCTGCTCAGATGACTTGTACTGGATTTTAGATTATGTTATAATCTATGTCCGCAGAAAACCTTTTTTTTTTGTCTATGTAAGTGAAGTCCAGACGAAGCCATAAGTAAAATTGGAGATTTCCATAAGTGGAGCCACCATTCTCTGTCAGCCTCTGTCAGCGTCCGTCAGCCTCTGTCAGCCTCCGTCAGCTGGAATTTGTTATAATCGTGGCTGGGTTTAGATTTAATATATGAACTGATATAAAGACAAGCGCTGAGGAGTGTAACTTACATGTCCAAATGTCTCTAAAAGTTACTTGACTGGAGAGTTGTAACGTCAGGTGACAGGCACAGGGTGGTCAGGGGGTTCCAGTATAGCAGAGGCTGGCCACCCACTGTACACCATTCAGTAAACAAGACAAACTCAGTGACTTTTGGTGACTTTTGGTGACTCCTGTTGACTCTTGGTGACTCTTGTTGACTCCTATTGACTCATGGTGACTCTTGGTGACTCCTGTTGACTCTTGGTGTCTCCTGTTAACCCTTGGTGACTCTTGGTGACTTCTGGAGACTCTTGGTAACTCTTGGTGACTCCTATTGACTCATGGTGACTCTTGGTGACTCCTGTTGACTCTTGGTGTCTCCTGTTGACCCTTGGTGACTCTTGGTGACTCCTGGAGACTCTTGGTGACTCCTCCTGAGACTCTTGGTGACTCCTGGAGACTCTTGGTGACTCCTGGAGACTCTTGGTGACTCTTGGAGACTCTGGTGACTGTTGACTCTTGTGACTCCTGTTGACCTTGGCATCTATGTTGACTCCTATTGACTCCATGGTGACTCTGGTGACTCCTGGAGACTCTTGGTGACTCATGTTGACCTCCCTATTGACTCCATGGTGACTTTGGTGACTCCTGTTGACTCTTGGTGTCTCCTGTTGACCCTTGGTGACTCTTGGTGACTCTTGGTGACTCCTGTTGACTCTTGGTGACTCCTGTTGACTCTTGGTGTCTCCTGTTGACCCTTGGTGACTCTTGGTGACTCCTGGAGACTCTTGGTGACTCCTGGAGACTCTTGGTGACTCTTGGGTTTAGAAATTAACAAAGGTCGTGCTCTCAATGCTCTTTGTGCCAGATGAATGATGAACTGACCCCAAGAAACTGTCTGCCACACCGGCCTCCACGTCTGCCACACCGGCCTCCACGTCTGCCACACCGGCCTCCACGTCTGCCACACCGGCCTCCACGTCTGCCACACCGGCCTCCACGTCTGCCACACCGGCCTCCACGTCTGCCACACCGACCTCCACGTCTGCTACACTGGCCTCCACGTCTGCCACACCGGCCTCCACATCAGTTGAATTGTTCGATTTGGCAGACAGCTGTACTGTACCTAATGAAAAGCTTAACAGTCTAGTTAACGCTGTGAAGACCTGTAGTGATGGACGTCCACAGTTTATGACCCGTACGTGATGCTTCGTCCTTGATCATGTACGTGATGGTTCGTCCTTGATCATGTACGTGATGGTTCGTCCTTGATCCTGTACATGATGGTTCGTCCTTGATCATGTACGTGATGGTTCGTCCTTGATCGTGTTCGTGATGGTTCGTCCTTGGATCCCAGCCGTGATGGTTCGTCCCGGATCAAGTGTACGTGATGGTTAGGTCCTTGATCATGTACGTGATGGTTCGTCCTTGATCATAAAAATGATGGTTCGTCCTTGATCATGTGATGTGATGAATTGTCCTGATCATGTACGTGATGGTTCGTCCTGATCATGTGCGCTTTACGGTTCGTCCTTGATCGTGTTCGTGATGGTTCGTCCCTTGATCCTGTACGTGATGGTTCGTCCTTGATCATGTACGTGATGGGTTAGGTCCTTTGATCGCGTAATGTGATGGTTAGGTCCTTGATCATGTACGTGATGGTTAGGTCCTTGATCATGTACGTGATGGTTAGGTCCTTGATCATGTACGTTTAGGAAATAATGACAAATATGACAAGTGTCTCCAATAGTATATGTTGTAAAAGATAACGAAATATTCCAAACTTTTGCTTTGTGTTTGTGGTGTTTGTGTGTTTGTGGTGTTTGTGTGTTTATAGTGTTTGTGTGTTTATAGTGTTTGTGTGTTTGTGATGTTTGTGTGTTGTGGTGTTTGTGTGTTTGTGGGTTGTAGTGTTTGTGTGTGTGTGGTGTTTGTGTGTTTATGTGTTGTAGTGTTTGTGTGTTGTGGTGTTTGTGTGTTTGTGTGTTGTGTGTTTGTGTGTTTTGGTGTTGTGTGTTTGTGTGTTGTGGTGTTTGTGTGTTTGTGTGTTGTGGTGTTTGTGTGTTTGTGCGTTGTGTTTGTTGTGGGGTTTGTGTGTTGTGTTTGTGTGTTGTGGTGTTTGTGTGTTTGTGGTGTTTGTGTGTTGTGGGGTTTGTGTGTTGTGGTGTTTGTGTGTTTGTGGTGTTTGTGTGATTTTGGTGTTTGTGCGAGAAACGGTATGGCCAAATCGTCATCTTGTCATGGGGTTCCACTCTAAACAGGCCCCAATCCTGCTTGCTTCTCCCCACCCCCCCATTCTTTCCTACCTCTCACCTGCCTACACACACACACCTCACTTCCTTCTCAGCCCACCACGCCCAACACCCATCATCCAGTCCACTTCAGCCCACCCGCCCACGCTCCTTCACCCATCTCCAGCCTGCTCCAGCCCACTCCCGCCCACGCTCCTTCACCCATCCTCCAGCCCACTCCAGCCCACTCCCGACGTTCACCCATCATCCAGCCCACCTGCCCACGCTCCTTCACCCATCCTCCAGCCCACTCTCGCCCACGCCCTTCAATCACCCAATCCACCCACCTCTGCCCACGCCTCTCACCCATCCTCCAGCCCACTCTCGCCCTACCTTCACCCATCATCCAGCCCACTCCGCCCACGCTCCCTTCACCCATCCTCCAGCCCACTCCCGCCCACGCTCTCACCCATCATCCAGCCCACTCCCGCCCACGCCTTCACCCATCATCCAGCCCACTCCAGCCCACTCCCGCCCACGCTCCTTCACCCATCATCCAGCCCACTCCAGCCCACTCCCGCCACGCCTTCACCCATCCTCCAGCCCACTCCTGCCCACGCTCCTTCACCCATCATCCAGCCCACTCCCGCCCACGCCGCCTCTCAGCCTCACAAGGAAAGTCCTGAATGTTCCGGCAAACTGCTAAAGAGACGGAAAATTGATGAAATTTTAAAAGCAGAGAAACGTCCAGTACTCTGAGTGACTCCTGCAAGAGCTGAGTACCAGAAGAGTACAGTAGGGTACCTGATGACTCTGAAGTGTTGGAATTGAAGACCAGAACAGAGCAGTATGAGGTTCTGAGTGACCTGCAAGTGTTGAGTACCAGAAGATTGACTACCAGAACAGAGTACAGTAAGGAGGTACCTGAGTGACTCCTGCAAGTGTTGAGTACCAGAAGATTGACTACCAGAAGAGAGTACAGTAGAGGTACTCTGAGGACTCCTGCAAGTGTTGAGTACCGAAGATTGATTACCAGAAGAGAGTACAGTAAGGAGTACGAGTGACTCCTAAGCAAGGAGTACATTAAAATTTAGGGAATACTTGTATATATGAGAATTAAAGCCCAGATAGAGGGAGGGGGTTGAGATGGGGTTATGTGGGGGGTGTGTGATGGTTATATGATGGGGGTTGGTGAGGGATGGGTTAGGGGGGTTGATGGGTTATGGGGTTGGATAGGTGATGGGGGGTTGTGATGGGAGGAGGGGTTGTGAGGTTGTCAGGATGTTGGGGTTGTGATGGGGTTTGATGGGGTTATGGGGGTTGAGTATGGGGTTATGGGGTTGTGATGGGGTGGGGGTTGTGATGGGGTATGGGGGTTGTGATGGATGGGTTGTGATGGGTATGGGGTTAGATGGGTATGGTGATGGGGGTTGTGATGGGGTTATGGGTGATGTATGGGGGTTGTATGGGGTTGTGGGGGTTGTGATGGGGTTATGGGGTGGATGGGGTGGGGGTGTGTGATGGGTTGTATGGGGTTATGTGTGATGGGATGAGGTTATGGGGGTTGATGAGGTTATTGTGATGGGGTTATGGGGTTGTGATGTTGGGGCAGATGGGGTTATGGGGGTTGTGATGGGGTTATGGGGTTTGATGGGGTTATGGGGGTTGTGATGGGGTTATGGGGGGTTGTGATGGGGTTATGGGGGTTGGTGGAGGGTTATGGGGGGTTGTGATGGGGTTATGGGGGGTTGTGATGGGGTTATGGGGGGTTGTGATGGGGTTATGGGGGGTTGTGATGGGGTTATGGGGGGTTGTGAGGTTATGGGGGGTTGTGATGGGGTTATGGGGGGTTGTGATGGGGTTATGGGGGGTTGTGATATGGGTTATGGGGGGTTGAAGAGAGGTTTAACGTTAGGTGTTTGTCAAGAGTCACATCAAACAGGTGACTCGTGTGGAAAATGATTGATCAATGTAAGAGTGAGGCAGAGTTGAAGGTCCTCCTCTCTACTTCACTCACCCAGTAGTTCAGCCTCCACCATTAATAGTCGTCTTTGGAATTAACCCTTGAAATTTTGTCTTTACTATAGCCCTGAGACTCTCCCTTTAAACTTGCCTCCTCTGTAGTAGTCCTTACAGCTAGTCCTTCATATCGACACTTACAAGTATATCTATTTTCTTGGGAATATATGGAGGCAGTTCTCGGAAACTATCTCTGATATATTTCCTGGAAAGTATTAAAGTATTACCTTGAAGACTCTTTCTTTTAATCTCTCTCCTGTAATGTATTTCCTTGCTGCACTATATCGAAATACTTTCCTCCAACTTTTCCTTTAAGTAAGCCCTGGAGACCACCCCTTCATCTACCCGGGCCTTAATACTATCCACAGTTTATCCCTCAAAGTGTCTTTTGAAACAGTGTGTCACAAGTGCTCCTTGAGTCTCTCGCCTGGAAATAATCCCTTGAGTCCGCCACACACGCTCAAACCTTTGCTCTGATTTCTCTCTACAAATAAGTTTGCGCAGACAAAACTGAACGTGTATAGGGCAGGTTTGGGGATAAACAAACCATTTTCTACGTTTGTGCAAAATCAAGCGCTGCCAGACAAGATGTTTGCACAAACTTTGTTTGTACAAACAAAATGGAGCGTGTGTAGGCAAACTGCTCAGTTTTCAGCAGCGGTGTCAACACCGGGTGATAATGAGTGATTTTCATCATTATTCCACATAATTTATAACAATATTATTTAAGATCTGCCTCTCAGTAAAAGGTCGCTTTAGATAATATTAAAGTAAACAATACAGTAACATACAATTTATCTTTAATGTGTTAATCTCTGTGTTTAATCCCCACTTTTAACTACCTACACAATATTAGTTAATACTACAGTACTTATTACCAGTAGTAAGAAATAATGATTACAAAACACACAGGGTTGTTATGTTATTATAGCCTTTAAAGCTGGCACCAGGTACTAGGCAGCAGCTGGAGTTCCCGTCATCAGCTGTAGCGATAGTCACACGCAGTGATTTACGCAACGTTACCAAATAATTCATGTCAGAATTCATCAAGATTTACCATAATGCGTCAACATTAATGGCTTCCTCGTACCAGCATCTCTCCTCTCAGCCCCAGGTGTAACTCGTGGTGAGAGGCGGCGATGTCTTTCTTCATCCACTCCAAGATCGTCATCAATGGCCTACAGTTGTATTTGTGTTAATAAACTTATCTGAGAAAATTGGTCTCTGCAGAAGCCATTGGTTAGATTATCTTCTTTTGTTGACTGAGCTGTTTGCGTAGACATAACCTTACAGTGGAGGCAAAAACTACAGTTCAAGTTTGTTTACTGAAGCTCTGTTTGAGCCAAAGGTGAGCCCGTGTTGTAGGCTTTATAATTAATAACTTTTAACCACTTTATTGATAAGATTGGTGTAGAGTTTGGTCCTGTGGTGCTGAGGGCGGGGAGGCAAGGTGATGTCTTCTCGAGTCTGGAGGATCAGTGATGGCAGGTGTGTTCGGGGTAGGTAGGTTGCTCGCACGAGTTCAACAACAACTGTTACAAAGAAGTATTTCCATAATTAATCTCTCAGGTGGGAGGGGAAGGAAGGTGAGACATGAGGGTGGAAAGAGGGGAAGGAATGATGGTTAGACTGGAACTAGGATGAGGGATGGAGGGGAGAGAGGAGGAGAAAGGAAAGAGAGGAGGAGCGGGAGGAGGGAAGGGAGGGAACGGAGGGTAAGAATAAGAGACAGATACACTCATTAGTGGATAGGTCACGTGTGAGGAATTACTCGAGAACACCAGAGTGGATCAGTCAAGTAGTTACTTAAGCCAAGCCTAACCTAACCTAACCTAACCTAACGCTGTAATAAGTTTAATAACAAACAACCTTAGTAATATTTTCTCCATCTCTGAAATTACTCTCAGAAACTCCGCTTCAGTACTACACTTCAGACTTATCACGTGTTTCATCAGTGGGTAGAAAGTGGGTGATGAAAGTGTGCGTGAGTGGCAGCCAGCTCTTGCAATTAGAAAGGTGCAGCATATTTAATAGGGAAAGTAAAATACACCGAGAGGAAAAAAGAAAGCGGTAACAGCTCCTAGACTTTTCCTTTTCCTTTTTTTCCCCCAGAGAAAATATACTCTTAAGGGGGAGACTCAAGCAACTCGAGAAAGAATGTTAATTATCTTGCTAACATCTAATTAAAGACCCGAAGCCCGTGCTGGAGATTTGAGGAAGAAAACGACGAAGGATTGAGAGGAGTTCAAGGAAGATAAACGTATCCTCCAAGCTTCTTCATTTCCTAACTTCCCTCACCCTGCCCTCCCCTCGTACCTCACCCTTCCACCTCCCCCTCTACCTCACCCTCCACCTCATCCTTCCCTCGTCCCCTCTATCTCACCCTCCTCCTCCACCCACCTCCCCTTCTCCCACACCATCCAACCACCCCCCTCCTCCGCGCCCTCTACCTTCCCCGCGCCCTCCACCTCCCCCGCGCCCTCCACCTCCTTCATCCCAGGACCTAAGTAATTCACAATAAAACGGCTCCAGTCAGCTACGAGGGACGACCACTTAAACACTTGGCAGACTATTTATGAGGACGTGTAGTGTAGTGAGTGGAGGGAGTCAGGAGGTACTCGTCTAGACTAATGGCTTCCCGAAAGAATAAAATCTTTGTAAGAATTAATAGACAGATACTTGTGGGAGCTATTGTTGACTGGTAGCTGTAGATAGGGACCTGTATACATATATACTGTAGGTAGATAATAACGTGTACAGTTATAAGGACACAGAAACACTCATCTGTTGGTGGGAATTTTAAACAGGTGGACGTGAGAATAATTTCACTTAGGCTAGACACTGTGGAGGAGCATCGTGTACTGCTGTATGATAAATTCTTTGTCATTTTTGGGAGGGATTTACTCAGGGACCTGATGGACTTCTACTGGGACTCCCTGAAAGAACGTTCGTTTGTCACGTAGGAAGACTTATTTGGTGGATACGTTGGAGTTTAACTGGAACCTGCTGTAAGTACCTTCGTTTGTTACTGCGTGGGTGGGCTTCTTAAGGGGCCAGATGGAGTGTCTCTGAGGCTGCCAGGAAGATCGGCGTTCTTATGAGAGAAGGAAGGTTGGAGGCGGTTGTATGATATGTAAACGGCCACAGGGAGAAGGAAGGTTGGAGGCGGTAAGGGGATAGTGATAAGTTTGGCCATTGGAGGCGGTTGTATAGCGGCCACAGGCCATGCTGCATACTTGGAGGGCACAGGGAGAAGAAGGTGGAGGCGGTCGCTGTATACTTAAGCGGCCACAGGGATGAAGGAAGGAAAGGTTGGAGGCGGTTGCTGTATACTTGTAAGCGGCCACAGGGAGAAGGAAGGTTGAGGCGGTTTGTATACTTGTAGCGGCCACAGGGAGAAGGAAGGTTGAGTTGTATACTTGTAAGCGGCCACAGGGAGAAGGAAGGTTGGAGGCGGTCGTGTATACTTGTAACCGCCACAGGAGAAGGAAGGTTGGAGGCGGTCGCTGCATACTTGTAAGCGGCCACAGGAGAAGGATATTGAGGCAGTCGTTGTATACTTGTAAGCCACAGGGAGAAGGAAGGTTGAGGCGGTCGCTGCATACTTAAGCGGCCACAGGAGAAGGAAGGTTGGAGGCGGTCGTTGCATACTTGTAAACGGCCACAGGGAGAGAAGGAAGTTGCTGATATCCGCCATACTCTGTAAGCGCCACAGGAGAAGGAAGGTTGGAGGCGGTCGC